CTTTATCACTTACACTAACTACAGCTATCACTGTATCTAATTCTATGTTTTCACTGACTGGACTCTGAAATGATTTAATAGATATTTCAGGGTGGTTGTCATTCATGTCTTCAACTATAATCTTTATGGTGCATTGTCCTGACAAACTGTTAGCTCCATTATCTGTTGCTATAACTTCCATGTCATAAATCTTAAAATCCTCATAGTTTAACATTCCCTTCACAGTAATTTCACCTGTAGTCGGATTGAGATTAAAAGTTTCTTGTGTTTTCTCTGATGTATATAAACTATATAAGTATGCAATTTCAGAATTTGAACCTTCGTCATTATCAGTTGCATTGAGGTGAATAACGAGGCTTCCAATTGGAGAATTTTCCATTATTTTTACGGTGTATGCCGCTTTATCAAATGTAGGTGCATTGTCATTTGTGTCCAAAACATGAACAACAATACTAACGGTACCAGAACGAGCAGGTGTTCCTCCGTCTATAGCTGTTAATATGAGGTTGTGAAGAGCCTGCTTCTCTCGATCTAATTTCTTTTTCAGAATTAATTCTGCAAACTTTGATCCATCTCTTCCCGTTTGAATTTCAATATTAAAATATTCACTTTCACTCAAATGATACGTTTTTAATGAATTTTTTCCAACATCTGGATCAACCGCATTACTGAGAGAAAATCGCTCTCCTGTGGGCGTTGCTTCAGATATATCTAAATGAATCGCGTCTCTTCGAAAGTGTGGGGCGTTGTCATTCACGTCTAACACTTCGAATTCTATGTTTAATATTCGCAACGGGTTTTCCAGCGTTATTTCAAGTTTCAAATAGCAAGATGATTTTGTATAGCAAATGTGCTCCCTGTCGATCTTCTCCACAATGTACAATTCGCCAGTCTCTTTGTTCACATCCAGATATTTCTTGTTAGCAATGATGTCCAGGCGCATCTTTCTGTTTATCAATGATTCAACCTCAAGACCAAGATCGGTAGCGATGTTAGCAACAACTGATCCCTCTTTCATTTCTTCTTGTATGGAGTAATGGGTCCCTGATGAGGTCAATATATTGCAAAAAAGGAGACAAAGAATAAAGGGCAGCACGTACCTCTGCAGAGATCCCTTTGTTAAATCAGGACCCATTGTGGTGTTTAAAAAAAACAGCTCTTAAAATACCCAGACGCCGTAGTATGGTGATGCCTTATTTTCACAAATGCAATGTTCCAAAAGCCTTAGAGATAAATCAAATGGAATACAACTGAATAGATTCCATCCCGACATTCGGATTGCTATTTCAGCACCACGCTGCTGTCCCCTCTGAGTGTAAAAGGCTCGATGACAGCGACCTCCTATAATGACGTTCTGGGTCTGGTTCTGCATAAAGAACAGCGCCATCTTTCTGGCCTGATGATGCACGGATCGTAGGTTTAGATTTTAAAAAATATATAAAACATCTGCAGTGTTTTATTAATATTTTATTGGAATTGACTGAAACGTCTAAATTGCAGTATCCCATAATTAATGCAATAACTATTTACATTAATTTGTGGCTGGGTGATTTTTTTTTTATTTTGTGTGTATGGTTGGCCTTTAACTTATTATTTTTTGATGGTATACAGATATAAATGAGACAGAAAAATGAGAGGTGAGACATGCGGCAAAAGGTAAACAGAGCGGGAGCGGAACCTGTAATCACGCCCGCCGACAGGGTGGACAACCGGGCAAGTTGTCCCGGGACCAATGGGAGGCGAGATATTGGTGTAAACCAGCCCCCTACATGTTTTACCACAAATATGATTATTTCTTAAAAGATGTATGCAAGGAATTTTGAGTTTTAATTCCGAAGCATCATAACATATTTCCGATTATTACTTTCCTGCGATGATCCACTGCACTATAGGGAAGTTTTCCCACCAGCCAGTTTGACGCAGTTTCTTAGATGCTTGTCAAGCTGCTATACATAAAATGGCTGTGGTGCAGGTGGAGACAGGAAAATACAGAACCTGTGTTTTCCCCTCATTACACGGCCAAGCAGCAACTCTATCACTTTAATATGAAGGGTACAGCGGCTCTCACCCGAAGAAGCCTCATCAAGCGCAGGAACAGCTCGAACAGAACTTTAGATCGTCCTAACCTGCAAAAGCCTATCATAGCCTGTAAATGCTCTGATGGAGCAGAAAACTCAGCAGTTTCTGTCAAGGGTTCGTTCCCTATCTTTGCTAGATGAAGTTATAATTAAGACCGGACCAAGGGGTATTGTTAAGAGGTTGAGATGTTTTGAATTTGACTGATGTGACTATGGCGCGTCCGCGGCTGCAGCAATGCTGCGGTGGAAGTGAATAAATTGACAATCCGGCTGTACAGCCTTTACTGCTTCAGAAAGATTTTGGCCAGAAGATTTTGTGGTCCAAGTTAACCGTATCAAACAAGTAGAAAACACACAGGTCAAAACCTATAAATGGGATCAAATGCGACTGGAGCATGTATGGAAAGCCAAATGTGCCATATATTTCATAAATTAAAAACAGGAAAGATCTCTATTTGTAAATGTAAAAATGTAACTGTTACTTGAGATGCATTCATTGAATAAATAAATTTACATTGTTTTTCTTAATGAGTAAATAATTACATATTTTAACTTATTTCATTAACTGTTAAATATGTTTCTCTTGCTTCTGCTGCTTTTCAAACAAATTAGAAAATCCCTAATGAATATTATATATATATTTATTCAAGTAAATATTACAAATGTTTTTATTTCAAACCGAGGAATTACACTGGCCGGGTGGCGCCAGTGTACAACAGCCCCGCTTCTGTCAGTGAGCCCCAGGGCAGCTGTGGCTACAATGTAGCTTGCCACCATCAGTGTGTGAGTGTGTGTGTGAATGGGTGAATGAATGTAGTGTAAAGCGCTTTGGTCAAGTTACCTGACTTGAAAAAAGGCACTATATCTACGTACATGCCATTTACCATTTAACACCATTTTCTTAGTAGGTATTTATTGCGGGTCAAATGCGGTTTGAAAATATTCAAAAGCACTTTAAAATGTAAAATTCTAATGATGCATGTTTATTGGTCAGTTTTCAAACCTTCAAATTTTGATCAAAAATAATTAAAGAATAACATAAATTTATTTACAAGGTTAAGTTTTTTTCTGCATATAAAGTAAAGGTACCTTACTTAAAAAGAATAACTGAAGAATACAAATAAATTACTTTAAGAGTTTAAAGATAGTTCTTGAGGTGTATTGCAAAAGCTTGAGCTGTGTAGATGTGACATAAACAAAAAAAGGGTACCATTATTTCACTGCTTGTAATAAAAAAAGAGAGAGTTTGGAATTACTAACTATTCTCCTACCTGCAGAGTAGAAGCTGCTGAACCACTAGTCTCTGACAGTCCTGTCCCTCTCGGTAGGCTGGACACGATGTACCTGGAGCCCTTTGGCA